GCTTTACATCGACAGACCAGAAAATTAGCCTTTTGATCGGCTTGGCGGGATGGCGACATTGTCGATAGGGCGAAGCGCGGTAAGCTACGAATATATCATCGAGGTATGCAAATGGGTCTTATTGTCTTGACGTTTTACAAGTGATTGGCCTGTCTTTGTTCTGTATGTCGCAGCGTGGCTGTTATAAGCCGCCCGTTGAAAGGGCCACGCCAGCTTCTGCAAGCCAAAAAGGCTAACAAGGGAAAGTGGGAGGTTTCGAGGTCTAGAACTATTGATCGGCGCTGATTTTGGGCTTGACTACGATTTCCGTGTTGATCAGGTTTGCCCAATGCACCGAGCGTTGTTCCTGTAGGGCTGCAAATTGAAAACAGAGCCTTGTTGCCAACAACTCCGTGTATTTCCCTGATATCTCCCTCTTTGCGCCTTTAATAATACATGAGTAAGGGACCTCATTTCTTCTCATGATTGCAAATACCATTGGATTTTTAGGTACTTATCATGTGGCAACAGCGTTCACCACTACAAGCGTTAGCCAGGTACACATCGAGTTTATCGTCTATTCCGCGGATTCCATCGACTTTCAGCCGCCCACTTCGGGCTTGAACTAGCCACAGAGGATAACGTGTTCACCGTGTTCAACCTCTTTGCCTCGAGTGATTGGGTCATCGACAATTGATAGATTCAGCGCAATTAATATTTCCTATCGGCGAATCTTCCAATTGCAAAATCTCATATCAAAGAACATCCAGTCAATCCACTCAGAGCCCAACTGCAGCCCAGTCCTGTAGAGCCCCTACTGTTGCAGTGGGCCAATCCCGGGGCCTTTTTTTCAGGGGGCGTCTAGGGCGTCAAGGCCTGGCCAGGAACTGGCAGGGGGCGGCGCGATGGTACCTGGACTTTAGCGGCTGCTAGTGGTTGCGCTGTTCGCCAAGAGCACCCGGCCCCGTTGTTGATGGGTGGCTGCTGCTGGCGTGGTTCAGAGTCAGGGGAGGCCCAGAGACATGGGAACAGCACAAGACGAGACAAGCAGAGCAAGACAAGACTCCTAGGATTTGTTACTGGTCACAGGCTAACGATGGAGAAGGAGGCGAAGCCGAGACAGAATGGTAACCTACGGTACCTAGGCAGCTAGGTGAGGAAGGTAGCTTCAGTGGACGAACCACTGATGAGGTGGACATATCGCATCGACCGATTCATGATTCTCCCTCATCTCGACTTCGGGCAGATAATTAATTAATCACCTTCCAACAACGTCGTAACTAGCGGACCCTTCAGCGCTTCCATTCTTTTTGTGGACTTTACAGTACGCCTACCCCGGATTGTCAACCCGAACCCCCCTCCACAGCCAACAGCAACAATTACGCTTGGCTCCGGGCGGCCTTTTGTAGTAGCTTTTAGGTCCCAGTCCCTGATCTGATCAGCTGATGATCTCTCCCCTTTGAAGACCTGCGCTACAGATAGAGCTGCGACCTCTTTCCAGCTCCCACTCTCTCCCGCAGATCTCTTAACTTACTTAGCTTTGCGATTCAACGTTCAACGTTCCAACCTTCACTCGACCAACAACCGTTGTATCGCTATTGTTACACCGTCCGACTCGACTTCAATACCGTGACTCATATTTTCCATACATATTTTTTTGGTGTCATGGCTGTCTCTGTCGCCTGAATTACGGCTCTAGGCGGCGCTTCCACGATGCGATAGATTCAGCCCCCTCCTTTGTCTCCAACTACTTCCACTCGTTCCTCGATATCTCACGCTGTACCACATCGTCTTACGCGCATATCCGCCCAACCTCATTCTCGATTCGAGTCGCACCGACGTTTCCAACGCCTTCTCCTTGGCTACGCGCCTTTGTGCTTCCCATAAAAATCCCCTTTAGGAGGCCTGCCTGTAACCACTCACATCCGCCGCTTCCATGATGACCTCGGCCATTAGGCCTTCGTCACAAGTGTCTATTTCGGGCAGTGGCACCACCACAACCATGGCCGCCAGCCAGCTTCAACCGTTAACGTATGACGGGGGTGAGCTACGAATCGTCCTTGTGCCAACATCCGACGATGGAAACGACGCTTCAGAACATGACATTGGAGGATCAGAGGTCGACCGTCGTTTTTCGTCCGACAGTTATAGATCATATAGAGCGCCGAACCAACCCATTCCGACACATCCTATCCCGTCTTTACAGGATGCCTTCGCCGAATCTCTGGACGAAGTCACATCCGAGACCGAAGGACCCGGTAAACCTAAATTGCGAGAACTCGATGCACAAGGTCGTCGGGGAAGATTATTAGAACAGGCTGCTGAGGACGAACCATTCGACACGTTATGGCGTTATCGACCTGGACAGCAACAGCATGAGATGTACAAACTCATCTCACAGATTACATTTGGTGTATACCTCTTGCTCAATAGTTTGGCTGCCGATAATGGTCAAGTCGTAACCATTCTTCAGGGCCATATTGATGAGGTTGATGAGTTTCTCGAGGTGATGCTTGAAGACTTTGCACAGGCTCACAAGGATCTCACAGAGCGCATCGCTCTTCTCCAGCTTCCCATGGCCAACAGACAAGCCTTCGAAAACATGCTTGAAGATCGGGCTTTCAGAGCAAAGATTCTTGCTGGGAATGAGAGGATCGATCATATCCTGGCGCGAACGAATGCTGCCATGAAGCAATGGGACGACGATATTGATGCTGGGCTTCGTTCTAGTGAAGCCTTCATGGAATGGCTCAATGAGCACAAGAATATTAAATGGCCAGAGTCCGATCCTGATCTGGACAGTATTTATCGGGCTATGAAGGGCAACGCTGATGGCTGGCTCAACACTTTCGATGACTTAAACAACCAGGCACAGGATCTGAATGGATTGGTTATTAAACTCATGACTATCGTGGCTGAAATGGAGAAGACGGCTGGCGAGGTCAGTCGCAAAACCTGGGTAAGTTAGTTTCAGCCTTGCTTCTTTTCTTTGCTAACGTACTGAAAGGCAACTATCCCTCCGTTCACTATCCCGGTCGACGAGCCAAAGTCTGAAGAGCCTGCTCAAGTCGCCTCTCCATCGTCAAGGTCCAATACGAAATCACTTACGCCCGTGGCCAGCATTCGAAGTGCTGAGAGTCATCGTGCATCTCATATGACGCAAGGCGATCCCGAAGTGAATACTCTCAGTGATTTCCCTCTTCCTGGGGGCACGCCCCTACTACCACCCACGACATACCAACGCGCCAGCTTCAAACCTTCCCCGAACCTGAGCACCTCGACTTCCTCACCTAGGCCCAATATCAGCGCAAGCGTGTCACCCTCATCTTCTGGACCCAACCTCAGTACTACATCCCCTTCATCTGGCGCTACTACTCCCAGGGCGTCTGTTGCAGGTGATGCAAAACAGCCAGAGAGTGATGAACCTGATAACAGTGATGCGAATAGCGGTTTCGACGATGGGCCTTTATATATCCTTCAACCCAAGGTCTACACCCCAAAATCCGCCGCAGCTCCTGTGACTCCAGGCCCTGAGACACCTCGTTTCGAAGAAAAGAGCCAAAGACGAACTATAACACCTTCTACTATACATATCCCCGCTCCCGAAGAAGTTGAGGAACAGACTCATAGACGAACGCTCACCCAGACTGTTCAGGATGCAATGGGACTACAGAAGCGGACCTCATTGCGGCAAAGAGTCTCACTGAAGAAGAACCCACCTGAATCAATTCACATCCCTCCACGCACCTACGCCGAGCCGCCAGCCAGTCGCCCATCTCCCTCTAATACCGCACCCCGTACGGCTAGATCTCATGCGCCTGATTACACCCTTGGCTCCGATCTTGAAGTACAGCAACCTCATCGACTTCCTCGGGCAATCTCACATGCAGACTTCTCATCAACTCAACCTCATGTCCCTGTGATGCCTTCACCTCACTCTGAGCATCATCAATTTTATCATAACACGATCCCTGTCCGTGCATCGCCTCATTCTCCTCTACAGCAGAGACCTCATACTGCCGGTCCAGCAGATGTCCAATATCGCCCATCAGGATACTTCCAAGGTCATCAACGTAACCAGCCATCTCGAATGGGCGGTATGAGTACTCTCAGCAGCGTTACAACAGCGACTTACGATGATGCCGCCACTGTCACTTCACGAGCCACTACCCAAGCCGGAGGAAAGCGGGTTAAGAAGAAGAAGAGTGCATTTGGATGGCTTAAGAAGGCATTCAGTCTCGACGAGGACGAAAAAGCAGATTACGAAGCACGCAAGGCCATGCAATATCAGAACCAATACAATAATCAGTATTACGAGGGACATAGTCCCAAGTTTTTGGATGGAAAGAGAATTCGGTAATGTGGGCAGACGAGGGATTCTGGATATTTGAACTTTTGACGCGTTTCAATACTCGATCAAAAGTGTCTCCTATTTTCACGCAAAACTTCATTTGCGAATTGATACCCGGCGACGACGCTCGCCTGATTTTGCGCATAAGCGTTCCTCACTCATTTACTTTGTCACTTTGGATGCTCTCAGCATTACAGCATCTGCACATCTTTTGGAAATATCATTGATGGCATCACATTCCTACGAAAGTTTTCTTTATACTTGGCATGCCAGATTCTTCGGCCAGCGATGAAGGCGTTATCTGGTTTGGGCACTACGGTTAGGAAGATGCTTAATATATCTTGCATCTTCATGTTTTTTAGGACGGATTTGGCGAAGGCCATTTGATGGAAGGGACGAAGTTGGATGTTGCTGAAGGATCTATAAAAGAGTTAAAGCCTGAAATGTCACGATGATGGCAATATCAGTATATTACAAATTTACGTATCAATGACCACAGATCAGCCTCAAAATCAACGCTTGGAAGTGAAATATTTGCCGGTGAAGATGGCTGATATATTTACTCTGCTATGGCAGGATTGAACTCGTAGACTCATACTTGTATGCTTGTGATAATCTATGCTTCTAAATGCAGACCAGAACAATATCATTCAGCGTGTCTCTTGACCAGCTATGCAATATGTTCTTGACCAAACCCATAACTCTTAACGCGGCTGAAGAAGAATGGCTTGTCATTCTTCAAGCCAAACTCGCCCCAGTCATCCGTCAACTTATTGTAGCTATAGAAGCCACGCCAGATAAGCTTATTGTTGCGGGACCCCTTGCCAGCACTTCGCATAGAGAGATCCATGCGATACATGTACTTGGACCCCACGCCCTCTGTCTCAATGAACACATCACCTTCTGGATCACGGTCTCGATCATGCCTGCCAGTAGCTGGACCAGGCCGGTCTGTGTCAGAGCCTTCATCGCGATCAGCAGCAGTGGACAGGCGCCAGCGACCGCGAAGGGCGAGTGCCATGACGGCGGAGGGGAGATGAGGCTGTGCAACACCACGATGGACGTTGAGCTCTTCGCGAGTCAGGTGGTGCACGACATCTGCCGGTTCGGCAGTGCTGAGAAGGCTGATGAGTGTGCCATCACGGAAGAAACGGAGGTATCGATAGTAAGTGACGATATGGATGGGACTGCCCCACGTAGGCTGATTAGTTGAGGCTTGTCCAGTGCGCACATAGTTGACTGTGGAGATGTAGCAACCATTGAAACGAATTCGCGGTCGTGAGCGCAACAGTTGCTTCCAGGTTGGATACACAGAGGGTATGAGAGACTCAGTGAAAGCGATATTGGCATCGCGTCTGCGTTGTTCAAGCTCAGAGGGGCTGATTACGAAACCGTCCTGAATCTCAGGGCCTTCTTGTTCCTCCTCTGGTAGATCGTCCCACTCAACGCCCTTTTCGAAACGGTATATCTGCGAGCTGAAACCGACTTCTGAACCAAGAGCTACACGGCGCCAGATACGCTGCTCTGAAGCAACGAGGTATGCGAGACGCTTGCACACGCGGGACAAGCGGGCGAATTCTCCGACATCTGTGATTGCGACGTCGCGGAGGATGTGAATGAGGATCTCATCGGGGAGATCGGCAATGGGACATGGTGGCTCTGGCATGCCCTCGATGGGAGGAGGGGCAGGCTCGATTTTCAACCCGGAGAAGCTGGCTATGAGTTCGCCTATGGGTAGAGGCTTTGTTTCTACAACTTCTTCTGGTTTGGGAGGTTGAGGAGCCTCTGCTGATGCTTTGGTAGCTGTTGGCGAAACGGGTCGCGGAGCTGTCTTTTGGGGGAAGTGCTTCTCACGATATCTCCGATCAACACCATTGTCAAGCTGTAGACGAGTTAGTAGATTTTCTAATGAGTTGGACTAAGATCGCATACTCTGTAAGCCTTGCGGTAAAGCTTGAGACTATCGCCCATATTACCCTGTTCCTCCTTGTGCATCGCCTCCTCAAAATGGTCCAATGCAGAAACGAGTTTCTTTCCCTTCCTATCATGATGAACATCCTGCGGTGCTTGAGCTACAGGTTCATCCTGATCGAAGGCACGGCTTTGCACATAATCATCGTCACCGTCATCCACTGGCGCAGGTACATGCTTATGTGGCAACGATGAGATAGGACCATGATGAGGTCGTCTTGACGGTCCAGCCAGAGCCTCAGCAGTTTCCGGGTGTTCATTCCTCGTTTTAAGATCCGAGATCCATTTCTGTCGGAAAGACTCGAGTTCAGAGTCGAGCTCTTTTGTGTTTGATGTCATGATGCTTTTCTTGTCCGTTATGTCCGAAGTTTATCTTAGAAGCGGTGGGTTATTTATTACAATAAATTCATTATCACGTTGAAGGCTATAAAGAGTAGATGTTGGCCGATTGAGTCAGTGTGAGAATGAGGGAGATTGATTAGGGGCAATTTGAAGGTGGTCGATGATAAGTCGTGATGGATGATGCAAAGAGCACGAATAGAATACTGTGGTTCGCCGGCCGAGTCATAGTGGGCGATCGATTACGGTGGATGGATTTGGTTAGTGTGATCAAGAGACGGTGAATGGGCATTACAAATCCAAACGGTTGGTCAACACAGAACCGATGGTGAGTGCTGTGTGAAAGTAGATAGATGCATTGCAATTACCAGGCCATTCAGTCATTCCAATCGTTTTGAGCATTTAGATAACCGCGGCGTTCTGGTGACATGTCGTTGCAGCCAAATATCATACAAAAATGCTTCCCTCGTGCTTATTAGCATACCCTATAGTTGAACATGTTTATTGGTTGTGCTCACGTCTTAACTCTGAGGTAGTTTGAGCTCATAGTACCTAGCTACTAATTCTTAAACTTGACATATAAATTGAACTTGAGTAAAATTAGAATGTGGTTAATATTAGATACTTACTCCTAGTATTAAAGCGTTAGGTTGACATGAACGAAATCCGTTCAAGCTATCAATCGGCCAATTGTAACACGACGTTATTACGCCAACATCCTCAACGTTGAGAAACTGGACAATCAAGAAATCTCGATTTACTCTTGGGGCGCATCAGGCATTAATTGGTGCTACTACCCCCCTTCCTTGGAATTTGTCGTGAATTTCGAGATGATCGCTTTGTAATCCCCAGTCTTCAGCGTCATCGAGCGTCATGCCAACGTTGTATTACATGCGATATAAGAGCTCGCAACGGGCACATGAAAGGGATAACTCACCATTCAAAGAAACACAAAAGCGCCTTTATAAGAACCTTACTATACAGCCTATCGCAATGGACCGTGCCTTTTATACAGCTTCTCTAGACAACGGTGTCAGCATCGCTTACACTGATACCAAGCCCGATGGGAATGAGAAAGGCGTTGTGGTATTGATACATGGTTTCCCTCAGACTTCGTATCAGTTTCGAAAAGTCATTGGTCCTATCTCCTCAGCTGGGTAAGTCATATAGGCCAACAACATGTCCAATACTCATGCCTCTCAGATATCGCGTGATCACCCCAGATTATCGTGGAGCTGGATACTCGCACAGAACCCAGACAGGCTTTACCAAGACAGCTATGGCATCTGATATCCTGAAACTTCTGGACCATCTCTCTATCAAAGATCCAGTCCACATCGTTGGTCATGATATCGGTGGTATGATAGCATATACCTTTGCTTCACGATACTCTGATCGTACAGCATCTGTCATCTGGGGAGAATGTCCCCTCCCAGGAACTCAAGCTCACGAGGATACATGGAAAATACACGGCGTTCAGCATTTCCACTTCTGGTTCCACCAAGTTCTCGATCTCCCCGAAGCTCTCGTCTCAGGCAGAGAGGAGATCTACCTCGGCCATTTCTACGACAAATACTCGTACAACTCATCAGCAATTACCCAAGAGGACTTGAACTACTATGTCAAAATGTTTAGTCGTCCAGGTGCTCTACGCTGCGGTTTCAATATCTATAGAGAGTTTGGGAAAGATTCGGAGGAGAATCGTGAGTGGGTTGCCAGGCATGGAAAATGTAAAGTGAAGGCGTTGGGTCTTAATGGCGGAATGAATCAGTTCAGCGAGATGGCTGAGCAAATGATGGGCGAAGTTCACGAAAAGGGGAATTTTAGTGTTGCTTCGGTGCCTGAGAGCGGACATTGGATTGCAGAGGAGAATCCTGAAGGGTTTGTGAAGGCGGTGCTTGAGTTTGTTGGAAAGGAGTAGACAATGGGGAGAGAGAAGAAGGCTCGAGACCTCGATCCTAAATAATCAAAAGACTAAGGTAAATTGGCATAAGTTTAGGATACTTTTGACAAGTTTAGGATACTTTTGCTAAGTTTAGGATACCTTTATCAAGCTCCGATGTTTTCTTGCTCTCCGAGGTTGATGCCTGGGAGGGAGATTGATAATGAGAGATTGATAATCTTATCACAACGATCAGCAGCCAAGCGTGCTTAACGTTATACTCCACAAGATCTTCTGATTGTCTTCAAAAGTTAACATCGTGACATACTATGGTTTAAGCAAAATATATCATTAAATCTCGTGTCTTGAGGTATCTGATATTTGTTTCATTCAAGATTTCGTCAATCACAATGCGTATTTGGTCCCTGAGCCACTGACATAGCTCACTGAAGCTCCAGCAACCCTTTTGTCCAAAAGATATGCATCGAACCAATCAAAACACTCCGTGACATCATGCTGCGGAAATCTGCGGCTCTCACAAAGCAGATGACAGCTAAAATGACCGCATACCTACGGTACGTACCTTACAGGGCGCAAACCGTTTTTTGGTGCACCAATCCCCGATGCTCCGACCCCGGGCTTAGCAAAACAATGGGGGGCGATATCGCCATAATTTTTTTTGTTTATATGCTTGGTACTTGTAAGAAGTGAATGCGATAAGATCATTAAAGAGCAAACTATATAAAACATTCGTGAAATAACAAGAGAGCATCGGTAATTTACTTTTCCTCTTTCTGGGTCGCACTATTTAAAGCGCAATTTGATCGAGTGCGATACTAGCCGACCGACCGACAGACCGAATCGTTTTTCTCCTACTCCGGCCGGCCTCGGGGATTTCGTCCGGGGAGTCTGTCTTTTTCTTTTTAATTCCACAGCAAAAGACACTTTTTTATCAATCAAACTTTCGGCATTCAACTTCCAGAACGGAACTCTAAAAAAAAAATCAATGTCAACATCGCAAACATAACGACTCATCGATTGGTTTGTTCAGGGGACAAAAGGGTGCTTTTTTCTCGGCCATTAGATCGCCACTACTGCGAAACCTCTCCACCAAAGACCACTACCATCGAGTCATCGTCATCGACACCTCAGCTTGCCTTTTCCTTATCTCGACAACCTACACATATCTACTGCTCCTTCCTCCTCCTTGAGTGTCCAGTACTCTTCTTTTTCATCGGACTTTGATCTGATTCTCTCCCCAATTGCTCGACCATGAACTGAGGAGAATACGTATACACTCGACTTACCCCAATAATGGCCACTGTCGGCACAAATCGACCCAGTGGCTACGACCACCACCACCACAGTCACCACCAGAACCCCCTCCAAGCCGATGACGAGTTTTCACTACGACATATGATGGATGCTGAACCAACGGGCCCCAACGACGGGAGGGATATCCTCAGTGGGAGTAAATCAATACCAGCGGCAGGCGCTGGGAGTAACAATAATGGAGTTGTTGATATCACAGCGACGCAGAAGATGGTGTCGGCCATGTCGGGCAGTTTATTAACGTCATTACTTGGTAGGTATCTCTCTTCATCCTCGATCAGACTTATGCTAACCAGTGTTGCACAGTTACGCCCCTCGATGTCGTTCGCGTGCGACTTCAGTCGCAAAAGGTTCCTCGATCGACCGTCGATTTCTCTAAACTCGCAATTACCACCACCTCGCTCTCCCCCGCCCAAACCGCCGAACTTGGCATCACATCCTGCTGCCGCGAGGTCTTCTTCTCTGGCGGTAACGCCGAATTCTGTCTCGCTGCGCCTAGGATAGACGGTATCGTCGCGCCTCCAGCACCCGCCGAATGTGCCGTTGAAGAGGTCCAACGCCGAACCTTCAGCTCTACTTTCGACGGTCTGCGAAAGATTGCCCGCAATGAGGGCGTTACGACTCTCTGGCGAGGGTTATCGCCCACCCTTGTCATGGCTGTCCCTTCGAATATTATTTACTTTACCGGTTACGATTATTTGCGATTTAACCCGAAGAGTCCATTTTCGCATTTCTCTGATACCTCGGCACCTTTGACTGCTGGCTCAGCTGCTCGTGTCCTAGCAGCCACCGCTGTGAGCCCTATTGAACTCGTCAAGACGCGAATGCAGGCCGCTCATGGAGCATCCACGACAAATCACCTTGTGGAGGCTTTCGAGAGTGTGAAGGAGATGGTGGGATCACATGGATATACTGCGCTGTGGAGAGGCTTGACATTGACCCTTTGGCGAGACGTTCCTTTCTCAGGTCTTTACTGGTGGGGATATGAGTCGATACGATCACGACTGACAGATTATCGTGAGCAACGCCATGGTCACTCATTGCCATTGGAGGAGGACCTGTCCGAAGCAAGGAGACGATCGCAGGTGCAGGAGAACCACACCGAAACCTTTGTGGATGCCTTTACAGCTGGTGCTCTGTCCGGAGCTTTCGCATCTTTCGTCACAACACCTTTCGACGTCGGAAAGACACGAACACAGATCTACCAAGACAGCTCCAAAAAGGCCAAACATAGCAGCGCCAGCGCAGTAGCAGCCCCCGAGGAGCGCAGTATGGTGCGCCTCCTCTGGCACATCTTCAAGACCGAAGGAGCCTCAGGACTATGGAAGGGATGGATCCCACGAACCCTCAAGGTTGCCCCAGCATGCGCCATCATGATCAGCAGCTACGAGGTAGGCAAGCGAGCGTTCCGCGGAGTCAACGAGCGACGTCTTCACAGCTCCAACGATCGTTCGTGATGAAAACGAACTGGATGGAAAAGGAAATACCCCCAAAACAACGGAGAGGAAATAGATGAATTTGGCGTTATAGGGGAGGAGGCGAAACAAGAACTCTTCTCCTTGGAACTGACAATTGCTGTTGCGATTGGTTTTTTGGTATTCTTGATGATAGACGGAGCACTGTATCAAATATGAGCGATAGATAATAATTGTAAAATATATGTAAGATCAGAGATGCTAGCATCATGGGTTGTCCTCGCTTAGGTGACGGTTGAAACTGATGTACTTAGTGTGTGACTACCGGTGATATAAGACTACTAGACGTAGAATATCAGGAATCTATCAATATTGACGGCATCCAATGTAGTTGTTTTCTTGCGAGTCCGTAGTCCTCTGCATCTGAGCGTTAAGTTGGGCAATATTCAGTTATCGAGGCCGCCATTCACAACGAAAAGTGGGACTGAAGACTTCAATCTTCAACATTTGGGTCTCAATATCACCGGACTTGGACGAATAACTGCTTAAGGATAATAGTGATCAGATTAAAATTTCAAGGTACGCTTGAATCAGAGAATACCCTCACCATTCAGTCCTCAGGCCGTCACGCTTGACGACACTTCGACTCATCAAATTCTTCGCATACCATCCACAAACTCACTAACACTCATCATAGCCATCATGTACACACTCAACTGCGCCGACGGCCTCTCCCTCGGCAGAGACGTATACGTCCTCGGCATACACAGGACATCCGTTGGTCTCGCTTCTATCTCATCAGACCAGTTCCTCTCTGTTCTCGACCCAACTCGTCTCTCTGCAGGTCCTCAGCGTCGTCTGCCCACCCAGCACGGCAACTTGACCACATTGCAGGTGTTTGATAGCAATGCTTCAATTGTGTGTACCGCTGGTGAGAATGGAACTGTTGGTGTGTGGGATTTGAGACCAGGTGCGAATGTTGTGCAGTTTCAAGGTGAGTTATAGATATGAGTGAAGTTGGTAGGATAATTGCTGATTGTGAGTGTAGCTAGTCAAGCTCCTATTCTATCCATGGCTTGCAGTCTTGATACACAGACTATCGCCGTAGGAACGGAACTCCAAAACCACACAGCATCCATCCATCTCTGGTAAATCTCCCCCCTACTACTCAAAGCTCCCCTCTAACAACCCCAGGGACGTGCGCTCAACACCATCATCCAAAGCACACTACCAAGAAGTCCACAGTGACGACGTAACAGACCTATCCTTCAACCCCTCCAACCCAGCTCTTCTCCTCTCCGGCTCAACAGACGGTCTCGTCAACGTGTACGACACCCGCGTTGCAGATGAAGATGATCTCACAGTGCAGACCTGCAACGTCGACGCTTCTATTCACCGCGCTGCGTGGCTCTCAGCGACAGAAGTAGCTGCTCTCTCTCACGATGAGCGCTGTGCTCTTTACGATGTTAGCGAGGAGCGCGCAAACGGTGATGCTGTACAGGACTTTGGCGATATGAGATCTGTTCTGGGATGTCAGTACGTCGCTGATATCACGCCCAAGATGGACGGTAGCGGAGCTATTCTCGGTGTCGGAGCTCAAGAGTAAGAACTACACTCCCCCCTTTTGTGAACTGGATGCTGACGTTATGTAGTAAGCAAGGATTTGAGCTTGTCTTTCTTGCTAAGAACCCCAGTGGTGAGGGATGGGCGCTGGATCGGGAGAACAGTGTTGGCTTGCCTGGTGCTCATGGGGAGGAGATTGTGAGGTCGTTCTGCTTCTTTGACGAGGCCCATGTGGTGTATACTGCCGGTGAGGATGGAAATGTCAAGGCTTGGAGGCCCAATTAAGGAAAGAAGATCAAGATAAAACGAATAAACAATGGAGCGATCAAATTTTGCAAGATGACTGTGCTTCTGACATTTCCTGTTTGACTTGTCATAGAAGGGATCATTGCCTTGATTTATTCAGGAATAACGCCGAATCATGAGGAACGGTATCTTCTGTTCAAGATGCAATTTCATTATGTATTATTTGATGTGCGTCCTTGACCGCAAAAGCTTCGACTAACGCACATTTTATATGTTTTCAAGTACGAACCGTAGTCTCTGTCAACTCGGCCACCCAAATATGCCTAGCTTTTGAATTGATGAACGTTGAGCCTCCCGTTGATGGCCTTGTTAGGACAAGGCGTTAGCCGAAAGCACCAGGAACCGTAAGCATCAATACTAACCGTAGCCTCTGATTTGAGTCGCCAATATCCCCATATTGCCTTCTTCCATGAACCTTGTGTCCTCAACTAAACTTATCATGCTTGCTCTTCACCTTAATCTCCAACAACGCTTCATGATAGTCTCCCTCCCTCCTCGCCCTCTTCAACCTCCTAACCTCATCCTCATCCAACCTTCTCCCCGCCGCCTCCTCCAACTCCCTTCGACTAATCTTCGCCAACGCCTTCTCTTCCTTCGACGCGCGCAGCTTGGGCTTGAACCGCGCCTGCATTCTTATCCTGAACGTCGTGTCGAACGAGATGTCGTCTGCATCGCCGCGCACGTCTACGGCTTTGGAAGAGGCTTTGCTGGGTGCTTTTATGGTAAGGAATGTGTCGCGCAGGGTTTGTATTTGGAAAGTTCCGGGCGTGTCGCCAGTGGGGATCACGTTGAAGGATTCGAGGGGGGATACGGCTTCGGAGGTGGCTGAGAGGAGACCGATTTTGTCGCAGGAGAGGTATCTGTGTTACGCATTAGCTACAGGTATAGTTCTAGATGAAGAGGTTAAATTACCTTCCGTGATGACCCTTGAAGCGAAAGCTCTCTGTGCCAGCAACGCGATTCGCGACCCAGACTTGTCGCACATCATGCGGTTCCGCCGTCGCAGGATTCCCATCAACGATGTTCTCAATCGGAATCGTAAACACCTTTCCCGTCGTATCGCACGCCAGCGCCGAAGGTTCATCCGTCGGTAGAACAATCATGATCGGGCCAACAACATCTGTCGCTGCCTCAGCAGAAACCCAACTGTCGTCATTCTCTGGCTCTTCGCCAGTCTTTTGCAACTGCCCAGCTTCGTCGTCTACGCCATCGCGTTGAGATTTCTCGGGGTCTGTTCGCTTGCGCTTCTTGACCTTCTTGTCGCCTTTAAATGTCAATGGCTTGACCATGATCGGATATTCGAGGTTTAGCTTGATGATGTAGTTAGGTAGTTACAGGGAGGTTTGAGGCCGACGGTCAACGCCGGGATACGGCGAGCTCCACTACGGGAACTGAGCTGTTCGGGAAGGTGATTGGTTATGTAATCGGTTCTCCCCCGCAACTCATGGTAACCTCTGTAAGAGAAAAAAGAAATAAAAAGATGAGAATAATTCCCTGACTCCATTTATTTTTTACCTGTCGTATCAGTTGAGTCGTTAGTTGCTGTATCTCGGTCAAAATGGTTGCTCAAGCTCAAGCTGTCTCTGTGTCTCTTGAGGACCTCAAGGATGGTACGTACCTCTTACATTCATGATAGCGCCGCTGTCATGATGAATCTCCCTCGCCCTATAAAACAGCAGAGTCTAATAATTCATAGGCAATATTCCTTTTGAAACCCTCAAAGAAGCCTTTGGTCCTGATTCTCTCGGAATTCTCGTCGTAAAAGACGTCCCCAAAGAGTTTCCCGAACTTAGACACCAAGCTCTCTCTTACGCTTCATATCTCGGCAACCTTCCCAAGGAGGAACTTGGTAAGTTGTCATGATACTACTAAAGAGCCCTCACTAACACAAGTCAAGAGAAACTTGAGAACGCCAGGGCTAAATATCTGACTGGCTGGTCCCTCGGAAAGGAGACTCTTAAAAATGGCCAAGTCGACACCTTCAAGGGCTCGTACTACGCCAACTGCGCATTCTATATCGACCCATCTCTCGAATGCGCCAAACCAACTGAAGAGTTCTCCATTGACACATTCCCCGAATATCTCGCCCCCAATGTCTGGCCACCAGAGAATGTTCTTCCAGGCTTCAAGCCCTCTGTCACCTCCCTATGCCGCCTCATCATTGACGTAGCTGTCCTCGTCGCACGTGCTTGCGATCGCTTTGCGCAAGAGGATATTCCAGGTTATCCAGCTGGATACCTAGAGCACGTTGTCAGCACTTCTAGCACCACCAAGGCCCGCCTGCTGCACTACTACCCTCAAGAAAACGACCCTGCTGCTAATGGCGGTGATGAGGATGACTGGTGTGCTACGCATTTGGACCATGGATGCTTGACTGGTCTTACATCAGCCATGTTTATCGACGAGCACAAGACAAATCCCGCTGTACCAGAAGTTACAAACTTGAACGGCGCTTCTCTCCCACCCCTTGATGAGCTTCCCTCATCCCCTGACCCTTCAGCTGGTCTGTACATCAAGTCTCGTACAGGCGAGACTGTTCAAGTCAAGATTCCTCGCGATTGCATTGCTTTCCAGACTGGTGAAGCTCTGGAGCGTATCACTGCCGGTCGCTTCAAGGCTGTGCCTCACTTTGTCAGGGGCGTGAGAGCTAGTGTTAGTGATGGAAAGATTGCGCGTAACACGTTGGCGGTGTTTACTCAGCCTAACTTGGGTGAGGAGGTGGATATCAAGCAGCATCTTACTTTTGGAGAATTTGCTCGGGGTATTGTTGATAAGAATACTGTGTCATGATATCTTGATATATACAGAAATACAAACTTTTGCGGCGCAGTTTCAAGTCACGTCTTGATGGTTTGCGAGAATAATTATTCTTGAGAGTTGTTCAAATGAGTGTGTATTTTAAGCTCAATCGAAAAACAGTCCTAACAGCCTACACAATGTGACATATAGGAACATGTTTGTTTTCTCTTTTGTAGCATGCATATAAGGAGAGTGATTTGTCCTGCAAAACCCTACTTAAGATATCACTCTAGTAGGGTAAAAGGGGCAGCGCGGGCATTGAAACGAAAGCAAAAACTTAGCAGCGATGATAATGTGTCCGGCTTTGTAGTAAATCAATCACTTTCAGCCGAGAAGAGAAGTAAAAAGAATGGGCCTGGACCAAGGTATGCAGAAATGATTGATGAAATTACCAAGAATTCAGCCATACAACTGGCAGGGACTAGATCATAAATGATCGTATCCTAACATGGCATTCCTGAAGCATCAAGTACGCGTGTCAGGTTTGAGTAAAGCACTCAGCCAATTAGGCCCAAGCACCCACGAGACTCATGAAGAAAGCCCCGAAGAACACCAAAAGGCAAGCATAGATACGCTTACGGCCACGGAGGAATCGCCAGCTCTCGTCACTGAGGAAGTCCTGGGAAAGGAGCTCAACCAGCGAGGCAAAAGTGAGGAGTCCAGCCGAGATAGCATTCATGACACCAACGACAATGAGGCCAGTTTCGGAGTTGGGGCTGTAGAGAGTGTGGGTAGCAAGGCCGATAGCTTGTCCCAGAGGAGTACTGGTAATAATGTTAGTGGGTGATACTGTACGAATGGGTATTCAATACTTACGTGCATCCATAGGCGAGGGCCATGAACCAAGGCTGCATCTTGCCCTCAGGCCACTTGATGGAAGCGATTCGAGAGCCCAGAGCCAATCCTTCAAAGGTTTCTACAATCGTATTAGTCCAAGTTCAAGGCCATCAACATTATATGTCCACTTACGGTGAAAGACAATGGCAATGAGCAGAATAATGAATTCGTTGCCAATCGAAACGCTAAGCGCCATGCCAATAAAAACACTGTGGAAGAGAATACCAAGCTCGAGCAAGACACACTGGAGAAGCTCCTTACGTTGCTGCTGCTCTGGGGTCAAGCTTGGCATCTGTACAGCCTCGAGGCTCGTCTCCTCGAGGTTCTTTCTTCCAGATTGAGCGTTGTCGTCATCTTCGCAAGCTTCTTCTTCCAGGTTCTCCAATCGTTCATCTCTGCTATTCAGGACAGAAAGTCCCTGACCAATGCTGGAGGATCGTCCACGAATAGGTCCCATATCCCGGATGGGGAGCATGCCTGTGCCTCCCATGCACCCGCCACTGTTAGAGTTGCCAACAATGCTGGCATCGCTGTCGGTTCCGGACGTGACCTCAGCGGGCGAAACATGGCGAGACGGGTGAAAGACCATCTCAATAACAGTGACAAGGAAAATGGCAGCAAGAGCAATGGCACCAGGCATGGCAGGGTAGTCCTCGTTCCAGAAGCTACTCAGACAAGGGTCCCCGAGAGAGATGAAAGCAGTGGGGAGCAAATGGACAAAAGCTGTAGCAATCAGCACACCAGTGCCGAAATGGCGTACAGCGAAGAAGAAACGAGTCGGAATCCTTAGACCTGGGAACTTGGTAGCCATGATGGGGAAAGCACAAGCAAGCGTCGAAACGCACAGGATAATGAACAAGGCTCCAACATGGAGAGGAGTGTTGTATTCAGCCTTGTTGACACCTCCAGTCTCGCAGGTGCTTCGCTTGCGGAGAGGCGAGACCTGAACAGGAATCGACTCATGGGCCTTGGGGATTGAGGCCATGGCAGCAGGCGCAGAGGCAGGGGAGTTCCAGGATGAGATGATTGTCGAGACAACAAGAACAGAGAGGACCCAGACGGTCCAGCTCCAGATGTGCGAGGCACATGACGAGAGGGTGCCTCGATGAAGACGGATTTGGTCATCACCACCATCTACCGTCTTGAGATACGAGGACAGTCCTGAGTAGGTGAGTTAGTACTGCGAATGAAACTGAGATGTGGATTATGACAAGGGATAATCATGAGATTCTTCAGACATACCCGAGATACGGGACAGTCGTCCCGCATCCTTCTCAGAGCCCAGGAAGGGCTCTGTAGGATGACTCCCCGCTTGATTACTTTCATCGTGCGAATTCAATAGA